CACATTGCAACTACATTGACAGCAGTATCCATTCAACATCTTTAGATTTAAGCAAGCAGCTAAAGAAAAAGTCCATTTCTATTTAACAACTCAAAGTAACTGTTCTTTAAAACTGTAAGACCTAGAAATCACCAGGAACCCCCAGCAGATATTGTCTGAAGACATTTTCCCGGTAGCTATCTTGCAATCTCAAGAAGGGTGAGGCTCTCAGCTTTGGAGGAAAAGGCTATTACATACAACTGAAAAATTACTATTGCAGACTTAGAGGACGAGCTAAAGCTAGGTACCCATTCTGGTCAGTTCCTCTGCTCTCTGGGACACTATCTCTTAGTTTTGCTTTGGGATTGGCTTCCTTGGCTAGCATATTGTTGAGAGATCTCACTGATAAAAAGACACAGACAGGCCAAGTATGGTGGTGCATGCCTGTAATCCCAGGACTTAGGAGGCTGAGGCAGGAGAACTGCCCAGAGTTTGAGGTCAGCCTGGGCTACACAGCAAAACCTGCCTCGAAAAACCAAAAAAAAAAAGAAAGAAAGACATTTTCCTGCCTCAGGTTCAGACAGCAGAAACATAACCACCCAGGCTTCCGAACTGTATACCAGACTATATCCAATCTGACTGGCCCACATCATGATTTTGTATCATTTTCATAACAGCCCAGGAGGGGAGGCAGTGTCTGAATCCCTTTCCTACCTGGAAGAAAGTGGCCTAAAGCTGAGCGTTGTGTCTCCAAAGCCAAGGTTTTGTTGCCTGATGGGACACACACAGTGGGCCTCACTCCAAATTTTCCATGACACTTTGCATGGCTGCAGAACTGCCTGATGGCTTAAAGGTCACCTTTCATCTGTAAGACCACCTGTATTTCAGGAGGTGGGAGATGGGACCATAGTGTCACATAGTCCCACCCTGATACCCAAACCCCTCACATTCTCAACTCTGGAAACCCAAGGCAGATGTCCAACAGGGTGTCTCATTTCAAGTCAAGTATAAGTGTGGTAAGACTCTGCATCAACCTTCTGTCACAAGGGCAGGCCACACATACAACAGTGGTCTTGCAAGATTATACTGACTAAACATGATGTTTACAAAAAGAAATCGTTTCACAAGGCATTTCTTGAGACTTCAGATAATGTATGACTGCAAGCATGTAACACATGCCTCAGAGAGGTAATATACTACTCAGTGGCCACATTTCTTTGCTTGTTTTCTTTTTTCCCCAACTCTTTTTGTTGTTAAAAATATACTTCTACCGTTTTCCACATGACCTTTTTCCAAAGGTGTGAAAAACATAGCCAGAACCCGTCCCTGTCCACTTTCCCATGCCCTGATTTCGTCTGCACCACTGTGGCCCCAAAGGAAGGACTTGCTGACCCTGGAAGGTTGGTTTACCTATTACCAGGACTCCAAGGAAGGTCAGAGTTACTGGGCGAAAAACAAACAGCAAGATTGTCTTCTCCAAGCCTGCAGCGATGGCACGTGCCTGTAATCCCAGTCCTGGTGAGGCTGCCACAGGAGGATTGCTGCAAGTTCAAGATGAGCTTGGGCTACAAAGTGAGCTCAAGACCAGCCTGAACTACACGGCAAAGCCCTGTCTCAGAAAGCAAAACAAAATAAAAAAAACATTGCCTTCAATTTCTTCTTACAGAAATGAGAGACAGTGCCGTGATAATTCCAGCATCAGGCTGAAGCACAGAAGTTTATCTTTAGGAAGTGTGGCTACAGACACTCTGTAGCCAGTATGGAAAACAGAACGTCAAAGGTGTGACATGTGGCAGGGAGGAGCCTGGTATATACAGAGGTTTGTATCTACCAGGTAGTGGCCAAACACGTAAGGACAAGTACAGGCAGCTCTAACCTTCGGTCTCTTGTGTTTTGTCTGCAAAGATAAAGCAGTAACATTTCTGAGCCTCTAAGATCCACGATGGTATCACTGTGTGCCCTAAGGACTTCGGCAGAAGGTGTACGTACATCAACCACTAAAGAGAGACTTCTCATATGTGTGTAAATGGGAATGTTCCCAATTTCTAGGTTCTCAAGAAAATCATGCACTGCATCTTTCTCATTTCTCAAAGTTAGGATGAGATCCATCCCAAAGTACAGAGCCAAGGTGATGTATTACCATAATAAAAAAGTACTTTGAAAAATGCCTTTGTTTTTCAAAAATACAGATACAACTAGTGAAAGTATCTATGACAGCTGTGAAAACATTCAACTGCCAATGAAGGCATTTTCTTTTCTACCACAGCTGTTCAGTGCAGGGCATGGTTTATTTTCCTCTTCCACTAAATTTCCCAACAGAAAATTCTGGGTGTTCAAGAACAGAATAGGGTCTGGGGAGGGGGCCGGTTCACAATTGAGGACTTGCCTAGCAAGTGCAAGGTCTTAGGTTCAATTCTCAATACCATTAAAATAAAAAAAATTTAAAACTGTAAATATTGTTCAAACATTTTCTTGAATAGGCTGCCACCGTGTGGTAGTGACTAAAAATGCGCACAGGTTCCACTCCCTTGCCAGTTCACATTCCGGAGCAGTTTTGAAACAAGCATTGCACCCTTTAGATCCACCTGCCACGCAAGCATTCCAAATCTCCATCCAGTCACTTGCCCTCCCTGGAAGGACTGCAACATGCTCCTCACTAACATTCTCTCATAGCCGCGTGGGAAACATTAGTTTTAGATCTTGTTTCTGTGTACAGCAGTTCCCTTCCACACCCACTGCTTTACAATCAGATACATTCCAAGACCTCCCATGAATACCTGAATCATAGCATTGAACCCTAAATATATTGATTATTCATATACATACACACCCATGATCAACTTTCACCTTTTGTACTTAAAGAGAGCAGTATCCAGCTCCTTTTACAGCTTCTGTGGCGTATCTGATTTGCCGGAATCACAATTACTCTTTGGAGCCCTCATAATGTAAAATAAAGGTGAGTTGAACATAGCACTGTGATGCAGTCACCCCTGTTCAGATACCCAGGAAGGTCACTTGTTGATAATGGGTGGAGAGCAAACACACGAGAGAAAGGGGTGCCTGCCATGCTGCCCATGATCTTGTCACACCACCCAGAAAAGCATGAAATCGAAAACTTATGAATTGCTTATTTGGGAATTTTCTATTTCTATTTGTTCAGACCCCAGTTGACACCATATAACTGAAATCAAGGACAGAACAACTGCAAACAGGCACAGCCTACTGTAATTTATCATACCCAATGTGCACATTTTATTTAAATTCACTTTGCTCAAGATGTGTGACTTGCATTGTGATTTTCTGAAATGGAAAACTGTGTGAACCATTTCGGATGTGAAACTATAAAAGAATTTAAGACACCTGGACACTCATTGCCCAGTTTAAGACAAAAGGCCCAAGGCTCCACACCTCCCAATCCTGAGTAAATCCCAGAAGTCACAGACCAATACCTTCTCTCTTAAGATAATGAACTCCAACAGTGTTAGAAAACAACTCAAAAAAGCTTTAAAATTTTAGGGCTCAGCAGTAGAGAGAGCACTTGCCTAAGAAGCTCAAGGCTCTGAGTCTGATCTCCAGCACCATAGAGAAAAAAATAACACTTTAAAATGACCTTATTTACAAAACTGTGTGTATCAATGACTACCCAAAAGTATTAATTCCTTGTTTTCCCATATATTTCTAAAATAATTTTCTTTCTCAACTGTAGGTGGCTAACTCCTACCAAGACTATTTTGATCTAGGACTTCGCCTTTGCTAAATCAGTATGCATTAACTGAAGTGCTGATAGTCTGCAATTTTATGCATCCTTGTTCACACTTCAGATGTTCAAGAGCAGCAATGCTTTATTTCTCCTTCAAAATAAGCTATTATTTCACTAATGGTCACTCAAAGCAATACCCTAGAAAACCAAACAAAAATGTGGAGCATTTTCTTTCAGTAAGTATAAATACAAACCACAATGCATTAAATATTAAAATGAAATTTAAGAAAGAGAGGGAAAAGACACACATCAACGTAAAGATCGACTTAATTTCACCATGCCCTGTGACAAAGCGCAGTCTGCTAAGTGCTCTCCATGGACCTACATCACAAAGGCCTTCACTGCACAGTGACAGCTAAAGGTCTTATTGGAGTTGGGTTAATGGCCAAGTTACAACTGCTACCCAAGGATGTGGTTCAGGGAGAGAGCACAAGATAGATGGAGATTGAGACAGAGATCAAGACAAGAGAACAGAGGAGGATAAGAGATCTCGGATGAGGAAGGAAAAGGACAGGTCTGACCACTGGCCTCCCTTCAGGGAGAGGCACTCTTCCCTCCCCCACCCCTCAAGTCATATCCCGTTACATGCAGTCCCCATGCCAGCAGTTACTCCACCCCTCTCCTCTCACTGGTATCCAGCTAGACCTTTAATTAGAAAAACAGAATAAATAACTCTGTTATAAAAAGGAAAAAAGACATGAAAGTTTTTCCCTCTGTTCCATCTCCATCCACATCCACTGTGTCCAAATACACAGTTTATTGATTGGATAATAAGCAGATTGATTCACTGTCTTAAAGTGGATTTGTCTATTAAGTTTTATCTAAATCCACATGGTGAGCCAACATGTTTCAAGGAAAGTCTTCATTTCATACAACATGTTTCAAGGAAAGTCTTCATTTCATACAAACTTTCAAGTCTGGAAGAATAATACACATATATTCCTTTATAAAAAATGATTTTTGTGGGTGTACCTCCTTGTTCACCCCTATTCCTGTTGCTCTCTTTTGTCTTATTTTGGCTAATAGTGTGTTTATTTTCCAAATCCTTTTCAAGAGTCAACTTTTGGATTTATTGAGAATTGTTCGCATATATTTGCTTTCTATTGCATTAATATCTGCTTTTTATTCTTTTCCTTCTTAGAGATTTTCTGTTGTTCTTTCTCTAACAGTTAAATTAAATCCTTAGCTTACACATTTCTGGTGCTTCTTCATTTCTGCCCCAAGCACATTCAAGGTCGCATGTTTCCCATATATGCTTTACCTTGCTTTGAAGCCGATGTGTTTTCCACTGGGAGATCATTGTCATGGACCCTCTTCTCTGGAACAGGCACTGCAGGGCAGCTTCTAAGGATCCATGAGCTCCTACTACCAAGATCTTCTTCCCATCTAGGCTGACACCTAACCACCAAAAAACATTCCACGTTACAATCAAAGCTTTAGGTCCTTCCTTCCACTCAGTTTTAATTTAAGGAAAAAATACTCTTTTCAGGCTTGATGTTTTTAGCATCAGCCTATGGTGGCTATCAGCTAAGAGCTGGGTATGATAATTAATTTTCAAATCTCTGGGTTTTGATCTTTTTGCTGAGTTTCCTTCTACAACACATTACTACATTCTGATGAAGTAGCTCAAAACCATGGTCTTGATAACAGAAACACTCTACATATGGATTATCTCAAGAGATTTTAGCTGAATGATTTTATAAAATGTTGCTATTTTTAAAATTTTTGTTTGTTGCATATTCAGGTGGAGGGGAGGGGCATTTGCCTCTTTTATGCAAATAACTTTTATGTCATCAACTAAAAATTCCTTAAATATGAGATATTCAGTACAAATTTATTCATTAGATTTCATAAGCAAGAAAGAAATTTTTATTCATTTCTACTTTCACTGGCATGAAAATGCAAGGTCAAAGGAGAAGAATGGAAATTGAATAGTGACAAATGAAAACAGATTCTGCCAACTGTAACATCTAACAGCCACAGCCTTTCAGCCTAAATTTTTGGTACCAGGGATCAAACTCACAACCTCAGGACCTTGCGCCTGCCAGGCAGGCACTTACACTGCGGAGCTAAATCCTGGCCCCTAAAATGTAAGTCTTACCTAGACTTACACATTGACACATCTGAGAAGTTGAAGCTGGAGACATTTTTCACTGTGGTTATTCTGACTGTTTCACAGGGGACTTTGAAAATGCTTAAAACAGGCTAACGTTCACCTTTACAAATTCGCTTTTAAATTATAACAGTGCACCTTCTGGAAAAAGCTTCCAGTCAATATTTGCATCTTCCATAAGATTTGAGGAAAACAAAGTCAACAGCTCAACATTAGTTCTGTGCTTTTAATTAACTCTTCCAGAAACAAAACTTTATTTCATTTTATTATTTTTCTTGTCTTTTTGAGACAAGGTCTTGCTATGCAGTTTAGGCTAGCCTTGAGCTCACTTTGTAGCTCAGGCTTGTCCCAAACTGGCAAGGATCCTCCTGCCTCAGCCTCCCAAGTGCTGGGATTACAGGCATGTGCCACCACACCAAGCTCAAAACTTTATTTTAAAAATTATGTAAATATCAACAGCCAGGGATATAGCTCAGTGCTGCAGTGCCTGCCTGGCAAGCACAAGGTCCTGAGTTCGATTCGTAGTATCCACAGAAACAAAACAAAACCAAAACAAACCCACAGACACATAAATATCAATAAACAGAAAACAGCATTTGCAAAGGAGTGTCATACCTGATTTTTCAAGAAGTTCAATTATGGCTCTGGCAACAGGTGAAACAAAACATTCATGGGCATCGCCACGCACCAGCTTCCCCAGGTTTATATCTGTCACTCTGAATCAGCAGAGAAGGGAGCAAGTAAGTGAAAACCCAGTCAAAAATCATCTAGAGGAATTCACACGTATCAATCCTAAATAACGCTTGATAGACTATATTAAAAAATAGTTAAAGAACAAAGCAGGAAGTCAATGTGATTAGCTTGAGAGCAGCCCTTCAGGGAACTTCACTTTGGTCCCCACTGCGGGTGGGCTGCTTCTACCCCACACCACAGCATCGCTGAAGGTGCCTCAGGCTCTGCGTCACCATTCCAGGGAGCACCCCTGAAGCACTGCAAAGGAAAGGCACCCTGTAACCAGGCAGTCCACTTCCAAAACCCGGAACCCATCCTGCAAATTTGGAAAGACCCAGAAAAACTTAGGGTTCACACGTTGGAATCCCACTTGACCTCAGTATGCATTTTCTTGGGAAATTAACGGGGAAAAGAAATGAGTGATCCTATACTTTGGATGGCCTCTGTGCCTTTCCTTGTTCCTAGGCAACACAAAACATTTGATAATTAAGTTGCCTCAACTGATAGTCTCAATCTAGATCAGTAACCAAGTAAAGACATTTAGAAAAGCTTTCAGCCCTTTTCTCTTTTTATGAAAACTAAAAAGCTGTAACTTCATATGCTCAGTTTTCTCATTGATTAGGGCTTCTTCTCTTTTTAAAGTGAGTCTACTACAAGATTAGAGATTTTTGACCACTTCTTTGTGCAGTACTACAAATTGAACGCAGGGCCTTGTACATGTTAAACACATACAATACCATGAACTACACGCTCAGTTCTTGTAACAACTTTTTAACCTACACTTGGGACTACCAAACTATAATAAAAGAATCGGATCGAAGAAGACTGGGTGTCTCAGGGGGGTGCAGCTTCTCAAACCAGTCCCTGAAGGGTATACCAGATTGGGAGTCATTATAAATTTGCTTAGTTTATAACCAAAAATATATTTGTGTTCCTTTTAGCCACAGTATAAAATATTTACTATTATTTCTAAGTAGGAAAATTGGGTCTTTAATCCCCCGGAAACCTGCTGATCTCTCATTGCAGACCAACAGTATTTTTTGTCCTTTGAAGCTTACTATCTTCACACCATGATGTGACTCAGAGACCAACATGAGACAGATCACCTGCTATTTATGGTCTCTGCCCCATGCCTGCCTCCAGTTTCAAACAAAGCCTTGCGTCATTAAGGATATTCATTTGATTTTTCTCAACTGGCCTGGATCTAAAGCAGAATATGGTGCTGTTGGGGAAATCAGGTCTCAGGCTTCTTCTCTGGTCTGGTAACACTACCAGAGAAAAACTGTTGGAAAAGGAGAGCAGGCCAAGAACTCCGTGAGACAAGAATGTGTTAAATGAGGTCAACAGTATAACAAAAAAATTTCCCAAAATGGCACGCAACTCCTGCAAAAGGGCTTATGTATTTTCCAAGATAGCAACTTTTATATACAGAACTTTAGAAGTTCTTAAACTTCTTTCATTTCCTAATTAACATATTGTAAAAAAAAATTCAGGAAAAAACACAGTAGGAAAAGTGATTTTGTAACAAAGCTTGACTGTTTTCTTTCACATTTCCTTACCCATCCACATCTTTTTCTGGTTTCAAGGCATTAAGCACTTTGTTGCTAAACAAGTCCTCAGAGATCTGAAGGGCAAGGCCATGTACTCTGGTATCTTCATTCATCTTTAAGATTTCATCTATAATCTACAGAGAAAAAAATTAGTTTTGTGAAAATAAGATCCTACAAGAAATGCTTTATATTAAAAACTAGATTCATAACAATGGATGTTACTTTTTTTTTTTACTCTTTGTTGAATCTCTTAGTGCAAAGCACAATGAAGTCTATTTCCTCATTTTCATAAAAACCCCAAACAAGTTGGACTGATTTTTTAGTGACTTCATACTTGCCGCTTTAACTCTGTGCAAGAAAACAACAAAACAAAACTAGAGCTCAACTGTTACTATAGTTCAGCTAGACAAAAGATAATTCCCTGACACATTTTATCCCAAGTATGCTGCCAGTAAATTTTCAGGAAGGCCAGGAAGCATGAATCTCAAGTATGCCAAGCTGGTCCAGCAAAGCCTGGGTGTCTCAAAAGGCCAAGGGTTGAAGGGTTCAACGGAAGCTTTCCGACTACTGCTCTGACAAAGCCCTGAGGCCCTCAGGCTCTCGGGATCTGAGTGGCACAGAGAAAGACTTCACAAATGCGTATGAATAGAAAACTAAGCACACACAGCTCCTTGTTATGGGAAACATCAGTATAGTTTACAACTTATAAAAGACCTGGGTTTGTTTCTCCTACGGGCTGTTTTGCCTAAACAGGAAAAAATAAATAAATAAATAAATAAATAAATAAGACCATAGCACACTATAGGAAGCTAATGCATAACTACTAACAAATGGCAACATATTGTCTCAAAAAGCAATGTTTCCTCCTCTCTCTGTTGACCTCTATTTTATGCAAGGACATAAGATTCTCACTCACTTCACTAAATAGAATTGTTTCCTTAAGGGTAAGAATATTCTGCCCTGTGCAGCTGGGTCTCACTTACAGAAAGTGCTATCCTTTTGTGTTCCTTGTTCAGCAAAAGTCACTATGGTAGGTATGACGTAGGTATGGTTGGTATGATGTACCAAATCAGAAACCAAACTTTATTTCCTTCACTTGGCATAATTTTATCCAACAAATATGTTTTGGGTACCTACTTCGTGCTAGTTCTAAGTAAAGGAACTACAGCTCTCACAGACTGGATTATTTAAAATAGAAGCAAGAGCACTCCTCAAACACTAGTAATGTAAACTCTGGAAGTGGTCAGTATGAACAAAGCAGGTTAAACAGGGTAAACAGCTAAAAGTGTCACTGGGGCTTAGGGAGGGTCAGAGGTTGTGACATCTAAGCAGAGGTCAAAATAAAGGGAGAGAACCATTATTACTTATACTTCAGATTTGGAAGAAATGACAAAAACAAAGCAAAGCAAAATAAAAACTATCTTACTACATTAAGCTCCTGTTTCAAGTAGTAACAAACTAATATATCTTATCAGAATTTCACCCAAGAAAAACGGGTGGGAAAGATTCTTCACTTAAAAAAAAAAAGTAAGTCCAGTGCTATCACTACCGGTAGCAAAAAACAACCTAAAGAAATACAAATTGCAGCTAGGTGTGGTGGTGAAAGCCTGTAATCCCAACATTTGAGAGGCAAAGCCACGAGGCTTGGCTGCAAATTCAAGGCCAGCCTGGAGACCTTGTCTCAAAAAAAAAAAAAAAAAAAGAAAGAAAGAAATGCAAATTGTATTGCACGCAGTGGGTCTCCTGCAAATGAACAAATGCATTTGTTATATACTAAAAACAGCAAATGTAGCAGAAACAGTCCAATATCTAGTGTTCTTTCTTCCTTAGTAATAAACACTGGGTTTATCTGGGATAATGAATGGCCTAAGACCTCCTGGCACAAACACTACATTTCCCAGCCTCCTTTGCAGTGGCCAGGTAATTATGTTGGAGCCAATGGAATGGGGACCAAATTGGTACTTTCAGGAAATATCTTTAAAGGGAAGAGTGTGGGAGCATGTATTTATCCTTTTTTCTCCTTGCTAGTGACAATGCTGAACTTCACTGAGCCCTATTTGATCCTAGAAAAGAGAATCCTGCCCTAACCTGTTTCATATCTATATCTATATCTATCTATCTATCTATCTATCTATCTATCGTCTATCTATCTAAAATCACCTTTACCCATAGGGTTTGGATAAAACTCATTGTCAATGCAATACATAGGCAAAACACAGACTACAAATGCCAGCTCTCTGTCTTACAAATATTTGGCTAAGCTGCTCGTCTTACTGACTAAACAGATTGAAATGCTTGGTAACCAAACTGGTCAAGCTTTTTCCTTCCAGCAGGTCTTTGAACTTTGGACCAGCCTTAGCCTGAGTTAGCAGACAGCTCCTCCTGCTGGCCTCAGGGAACAGAGATCCTTCGCTGCCTTCCACAAACCATTTCTAGCCCTGTTCACTCCTCCTCTAGAAGAAAAACCTCTGCACACCTGTGGAGAGGACTGTGGCTCAGCAGGCCGAGCATCTCCCTGCTGCAATACAAGTAGTCTGTGGTTTCACTTTCCAGGGTTCCAGTTATTCTTTGGTTAACCATGGTATAAAAACACTACATGGAAAATTCCAAAAATAAGCAATTCATTAGTTCTAACTTCTATGTCACTCTGAATAGCTTAAAGAAATCTAGTACCGTGTAGTGTGTGCTTGGGTGTGTGCCATCTCTTTCTGGGCCCAGTACGTCCACATTGTATGTGACTGGTCCCTTAGTCATTCGGTAGCCATCAAGTTATTGGATTAGCTGTGGTGATGTGGCAATGCTTGTGTTCAAGTAACCTTACTTAATAGTAGCCCTAAAGGACAGAACAGTGATGCTGCAGCTCAAGTCTTCATGGGACAGAGAGATCAAGGAATATGAGGCTGGGGGAAAGTGAACTCTTCTGAAATTTCAGCCACAAGAAAGGCTAGACCTGTTTCTGCCACAGCTGGGAGATGCTAACAGATCAACAAGGTCTACAGAGAGATGAGTGCATGCCCGCATGCCGAGCGACATTACCTCAGCTTCGCCACTATCTGGAGGAAGGCAGACGTGAGTAATGTTCAGACCAGCCTGAAAAGGAACACAAGGCCACCTGTCACTATCACAGAATATACTGGTAGGAATTATAATGCATTTGTGAAAGTTAGCAATTCTCACCTCCTCAGCCAGATTCTGGTTTATTTCCTGCATTAAGTTTTCATCACCTGCCTTAGAGAAAAAGAGAAATAGGAAAAATGTAACAACATGAACACATCTTGAAAAAGCATGAAATATACATGGACTGAGTTTTGCAGTTACAAATTATCTAATCACAAAGATGATATGGAAAATACAGAAAACAAACCTTATTGCTTGGAAAAAGAAGTGGGGATCAATAGTTGATATAAAACAAAGGTTAATTTCAAAGTATGTCACCTTTTAAAAATAGGTAACAAAGATACTTCCCGCCAAGTGTGATGGTGTTCACTTGTGATCCTTGCACCATGGGAGCCTGAGGCAGAGGATCACAAGTCTAGGCTCAGCTTGGGCAATTTAGTAACACAAAGAGACTGTATCTCAAAACTTTAAAAAGGGGTGAGAATGTAGCTTAGTGCTAAGGTCCTGGGTTTAATCCTCAGTACTAAAACACTAAAGACAGGAGTATAAACAGCTTGCCTGTGAGTGGAAAGTCAAAGAGCATGCACTCTTCCCAGAAAACCCCAGCTGCCAGGTCAGTTCGCCTCTCTGTCTAACTGTTCTTTCTCTGTAAGGGGATGCAGATCACACCCCAAGGAATGTAAGCAACATGAGCACAGCTCTACAATCCTGAAACCCAACGCACGAATGAGTGCAGAGGCTGCTGATTTGATACGCTGAAGGTGTGCCAAGCACTGCTGTAACCATTCAACTGATGGGCTGCCAGCCTCCACGCTTGGCTCACTTCAGCACTTCCCTGCACCTGCCGACACACAGATGCCAGTAACAGTGCCAACAGTAGCTTAGCACTAAAGGGCTGCAGCCAAAACACGTACAGGGAAGGCAAAGGCCTTTTGACACAGCAATGCCTTTTGATAAACAGGTTGCAAGAGATATGGTAAAACCATTAGCAAACGCCCACATGTCATCTGTCTTCGCCAGCAGAACCACAGGGGAGCTTACCATCCTATCACCTTCAAACCGCATTTGATAAGCTTTGTAAGTGCACGTGGGCTGCTGTACGTTCTATGTAATGTGATTTCCATGGGCGCCTACCTCCTGACCTCAGGGTCAGGACGACACACAAGGCAAAGCTAGAAGCAAACGACCAAAGAAAGGCAGGTGACGGCACTTCTGAGTCCAGTCTTCCTTAACAAGAAATACAGCTGGTCATTAGTTTACAAGTATTTTCTACATTGAAAATCTTCAAATGGCAGGACCGCACTGCACTTAGCTTACCTGAATAATAGCAAGAACTGGCTTAAATGCAGGGTTTTTTTCTTGTAACAAACGTAGAGCTTCTTTTGAATTCTGAATAACCTCTCTATAGAGAGAAAGAAAAATGACATAGTCATTTCTTTCTAGAACACACTTTCTTACAACCTTTGTTACCAGAAGTAAAAATAATTAGACAACAAAAGGAGGTACTGCACGGGAAATATTTCAAAGAATCAACAACTGGGATCTTATCTTATTAAAAAGTTTTTGTATAACAAAGTGAAGAGCAAATACACAGAATGGGAAAAAATTTTAGCCAACTGCCCCTCAGACAAAGGACTTCAATCAAAACATATAAAGAATTGAAAAGATCTGGCTCCCCAAATTCAAAGATCCAACCCAAAAATGGGCATCTGAGATGAACACACACTTCTCAGGTTAAGAAATACAAATGGCAAATAAATTTATGAAAAAATGTTCAAAATCGCTGGTCATTCAAGAAATGCAAATTAAAACAACACTGAGATTCCATCTTACTCCAGAAAGAATAGCTACTATCAAGAAATCAACCAATAACAAATGCTGGAGGGGCAGTGGGGGAAAAGGAACCCTTTTCCACTGTTGCTGAGAGTGTAGACTCGTACAATCACTCTGGAAATCAGTGTGAAGTTTCCTCAAAAAACTAAGATTGCATTTCCCATTTGACCAGCTATTCTCCTTCTGGGTATCTTCTCAGAAGAATTGAAAACACTATACAGCAGCAACATATGTGCACTCATGTGTACAGCAGCACAATTTGTAATAGCTAAATTTTGGAAACAACCCAAACGCCCACCAACTGCAGAACAGATAAGATGTGGCATTTTTATACAATGGAGTACCGGTCAGCTATAAAGAAGGATAAACTCAAGGCTGTTATAGGTAAAGATGCAATTTAAGATCATACTCATAAGCGAAATAAATCGGACTCCTATGTGTAAATACCATGTTGTCTCCTTAGTATGAAAAACAGAAAGAGTAAATAAGATTCATAATGTACAATAGATAGTGTGAAAGTGAAACGGGAAGACACTGCTCAAAAGGAAAGAACAAATGGGATGGGGGAAAAGAGAAAAGAAAGAAGTGAGAAGAATATATATATAGGTGCAAGATAGGCAATTATACTATTAATCATGGTTAATCCATCAAAAGAATGGGTTCTGCTTTCATTGTTCGATCACTTTTTCATGCCTCTATCTTGTAATCTGAGCTACTACTTTAAGATAACAATACACAATACATTCACCATTGTTAACCTCCTATTATATTGTTTTGAAATCTGTATTATCATTTTTATTCTTTGTTTTAACATTTTTTTAAAAAAGGAGGTTCTGAAAGTACAGTATGGGGAGAAGCAGGATAACAAGGACACAGAATGTCAAAAAAGACAATTCAGTGTTTAAGATAAATAGCAGAAACAAGCTAATATTCTAGAGGAGACTTTTTCTCTTGTATTTTCAAAGCTTCCTATAATGAAACATCTAGGTTTCTGCTTTAAAAAACCCTATTCCTTCACCACACTTTCCTCAAAAAAAAAAAAAACAAAAAAAGACTAAAGTGCATAGGGATAGAAAGCAGCTGTACATGGGGAGAGGGATGGTGAAGACAGGGCTAGATTCCAGGGGGGCTGCAAGGGAGAGGAGTGGGCGAGGGAAAAGGGAGCTGTGGAACTGGGATGCAGGGGAGTTTGACAGCACTCCAAAGGCCTCTCTGGGAAAAGATCTCACTGCTCAGGACAACACGGTCTGCACATCTACCTCAGCAGCGGGCACCCTCCCCTTGGCATCCCTGGAGGTGAAAGGTACCTGAGGTCAGAGCCCAGCAACTGAAACGAACAGAACCTTCCCAGCAGAAGTACAAATGCCCAGTACACAGATAAGAAAATGTGCAACAGCTCTGGCCGTCAGTGAAATGCAGGTTAAAACAACACCGAGATTCCATCTTACTCCAGAAAGAACAGGCCATCACCAAGAAATCAGATAACAGCACACGCTACTGGGGCTGGGAGGAGCGGGTGAGAGACATTTGTTTTCACTGTTGGTGGGAATGTAAATATACAACCATTATGGAAATCAGTAAGGAGACTCCTCAAAAGACTAAAACATGAGCTGGGCATGGCAGTGCAGGCCTGTAATCCCAGTACTGGACAGGTTGAGGCGGGAGGATCATTGCAAGTTCTAGACCAGTCTGGGCTACAAAGCGAGCTCAAGGCCAACCTGAACTGCATAGTGAGACCCTGTCTCAAAAGGGAAAAAAAAAAAAGCTAAAACAGGAAGTTCCATTTGACCTGGCTAGTCCCATCCTAGGTCTCTTCTTGAGAGAGTTACAGTCATCATACTAATGGTACATGCATGCATACTCATAGCAGAACAATTCACAATAGCTAAATCTTGGAATTGGCTTATGAATCCATCAATATACAGATGGGTGGATAAAGCAAATGTGCATTTATATACAATGGAGTACTATTTTGCCATAAAGGGTAAAATTAAGTAATTTATAGGAAAATGATGCATCTTGAAACTATCATGTTAAATGAAATAAATCAGACACACTTCAATATCACATGGTTTCTCTTATATGAGAAATTACAAATAAAGAGCAAAATAAAAGATAGATAATAAAGAAAAAAAGAGAGATGGAAGGGAAAGAGAAAAAAGTACACCTGCCCAGATACACAGACCTAAATAATTATGGTCAAAGGCTCTTTCTGGAGCCTCCTGGATGGGTGATTTCAGATGCACCACGTGTTCTTACTAGCAAATGGACAACACAGTCAAGTCCCCCCATCACCTTTCCAATACAAAACTCAACCAAGGCAGTTCACTTCAGTGTTAAGATCATGCTCAGTGCAGACTTCTGAGTCAGGCTCTGTGCAGACTTCTACTTGTAGCGCTGGGGACTGAACTCTGGACCTCAAACATGCTAGGTAATGCACTACCACTGAGCTACAGTGCCAGGCTCAGTCCAACTTTATACATGGTTTTTAGCCTCCAGCTAAAAATGTAAGCGGGAGTCCCATCAGTAGTTGGTCCTCAAGAGCAAAAAGTCTCCCAGTTTTCAGAGGTAGTTGAGGGCTTGAGACCAAAGGACACTGTGTATCACCTCCCCCAGTAAAAGAGGGTAAAGTGTACTCAACGGCTTCAAAACTCACACCAGAACCAGCCTTTCTCCTGTCTTCTGGGCAGACTCAGTGAGCAGTTCTGGGTTATTTTCTTTAGGTTTTGGTTTTTAAACACCTGGATTAAAGTAACTTAATTCCCTGCAAAGTATTATTGTGTTGAGTAAATGAGACCATGCAACAAAGTTTATAAATCTCCTAATAAGTGGGTACCACAATCCAACTGTCCAGTGATGGGTGACTGAAGGCCACGTTCTGCACTGTCTCCCAGCCTGGTGGGGTGACTAATTTGGGCCACACTTCTTCCTGCCTGGTCTGGGAAACCACTGGAGGATGGGGGTCCTGAGCAGTCCTTGGTGTGGGAATTACCAGGGAGGTTTGATAAAAATGAAGGTGTCCATATATCTCCCAGAAAGTCAGATTCAGGATGTCAAGGTGGCACCCAGGAAAGTGTCCCTTTGACAATACAACCATGAAGTTCTAGAACAGACAGTGGGAAAAAAGAAAAAAGAAAAACAGCCAAGTCTGGCACTCAGGCCTTCCACAGACCAGAGCAGGCAATTTACTTGGTCTTGATGAACCCCTGCTGCCTGATTTTAAAAAAGGTGTGCTCCACCTTTTTACTATTAGACATATTTTTCTGTAAGGCAACACTACCTTGGAACACTCTAAACATTCATCCCAATAGTAATAATTTCCCCCAGAAACATATGTGCTCACACCCCTGTAATTAACTTTCAAAACAGCTGAGGTGTAGGGGATAGAAAATATAGGTGGATAAAAGGGATTCACCATTGTAATTCACAAAGCTAATAAGTAAAATTGTCTCCTGCTTCCCACAATTGTCCTTAGTGTGATATTTCATTCTTTGGGGTTACTTATTATTCCTACATTGATAAACAAAGCAAGTAGGAAAAGGCGCCAGGTTCAATAAATCTAAAAAGTATCATAAATGTTTCTAATTAGAGGTTTTTATGTTCCTAGGAGAGAAGAATGACTTTGTCAACTCCAGTAAACAGTGGGGAGGAATACGTTACTGCAGCTAGATAGAACTCAGAGTTCTGCTAAAGATAATTTAATGCTATTATAAGTCATCATCACCAGCTTTATTATTACTTTATGCTGGATCTATCTATTACCACTATTACTATTACTACAGCCACCACCACTGACTTAGCACCCTGGCTGGCTGTGCAAGGAGTATGTTTGATGGGCACAAAGCAACCTTGCAATAGTGACCACATTTCCCAGGATCCCCTGCGGTCAGCTGTGTCCATCGCTAGCAGTTGGGGAGAAAGCTGCTGGTCGCTGAAAACTACCAGTGTAAACACACCCCTGAACATAAAGCCTATGTATTAGGCTCATAAAATGTAAATTTTAACTTCTCAGAAATTTCAAAAACCAAAGAGGTGCCCTTCTCTATCTATAGCAAAGGTCTCCAAAGCAGCCTCCTCTAACGCGGTAACCACTGATGTTCAGATGAGCAGTCCAGGCTAAAACCAGCGGCAAGCTGTTTAATAACTCAGGGCACTGGCAATTAGTAGCTACATTCAATCTAACAGTAAGAATAATAATCTCAAACCAGCTGCTGCTGGGTACTTCCTTTAGACGGTACTTCAACATTCCTTTTCTTTAATGAGAAATTCTGAGTGTTGGCTGCACATGGTCACCCAGCTGGAGAGCACATTTCCCAGGCTCACTCACCTGCAGCTCGTGTAACCAATGGTTCGTGTAACCAACTTCCAGCCAGTGGAGAGGCAAGGAATGGGCAGGATGGACAAGTGTGCAAACTGGCCCCTTTATTCTTTTGCTGGCTGGGAGATGAGGAAACCCAAGCAAAGGTCTTCTACCCACAGAGAGAATAGCAAGCAGCATCACAGAGGTCATCTTGCCTGCCCTGGGCTCTGTCTCCTCTGGGTGGTGCTTTGGGCATTGCTCTAGCTTAAATATGTCCATGTTCATGTGTTGGAAATGCAATCCCCAGTGTTAGTGTTGAGAGATGGGACCTTTAGGAAGTGACTGGGTCAAAAGGAGAGAGCCCCCCCGCCCCAAGAATGGGCAAGTGTCGGCATTGTGGGAGGAGGCACTTAATGAAAAGGATGCATTTGTTCACCCTGCCCTTCCACCTTCTGTCACATTACAGGGCAGCAAGAAGGCCTCTGCCAGATGCTGGCACCTTGATATTGAGCTTCAACTATGAGATAATAAATTTCTATCATTTATAAATTACCCAGTCTGCGGTGTTGTTCTATAGCCACACAAAATGGACTAAGATGTCTATTAGAGCTGCCTGGCCCATTTCCTATTTCACAATCAGGCCTAAACCAAGGGCTTAACAGAAAGATTTTATATATTGCATTCCACCAAATCTGAGAAAGACAAGAAACACATCATTATCTAAGGAATCATTAAGGGAAAAAATGCAGGGAGTTAAAATATGTACAACATTTACTTTGTAAGTACCAACAGATTATTGAAGGCCTATTAGACTTCCTTGTTATAAAGTCACTCATAAGTATATAACAAAAGAAACAGGAAATTGAGACATTCTAAAACTTCACATTCAGAATCTGAGTCTTCCCTATGACAAACCCTTGTTTTTGCTTGTCAATTTTTGTTTACTTTCTCACTGTCACCTCTGTCAAGAATGTTGGTGATGTGTTATTTCTTAAAAGGTTATGTCTGTTTTTGTACACTACTAAAGAACTCACTGAGAAAGAAATTAAGGAAAAAAATACCATTCACAACAGCACCAAGAAAAATGAAACACTTAAGAATTAACCTAAGGAGGTGAAAGGCCTCTAAAACAAAAATAACAGTACTCTGACAAAGAAAATTCCAAGAGGACATCAGAAAATGGAAAGACCTCCCTTGTTCCTGGTTAGGCAGAATCAACATACGCAAAATAGCCGTATCTTCAAAACTAGTACACAGACTTAATGCAATCCCAGTCAAGATTCCAACAGCATTCTTCACAGAACAAAGGAAAACAACCTAAAATTCATATGGAACCACAAGACATTCAAAATCTAAAAAGCAGTCCTGGGTAGGAAGAACAAAGTGGGAGGAATCACAGTCCCAAAGTTACACTGAAGTTATATTTCAAAGCTACGGTAAAAAACCAGCATGGTACTGGCACAAAAAGAGACATGAACAGCATGTCATGGAATAGCATAAAGGAAGCAGAAACAACCATAAGTACATTCAACCATCTGATCTTTGACAAATGGGTCAAAAACATACATTGGAGGAAAGATAGCCTCTTTAATAAGTGGTGTTGGGAACATGGGTTATCCACATGCAGAAGATTGAATCTAGACCCGTATTTCTCACCATGTACTGAACTAAAATCAAAATGCATTAAAGAACTAAATGTTAAAAGAAACACAACTTAATGTAAGACAAAATAAATAAAACTCTTGAAATCATAGGCACAGACACAGGCTTTTTTGAACAGAACCCTGGTTGCACAGGAAATAGTACCAAGAATTAATGAGATCCTATAGGAAAAAATTTTGCCATCTATTCCTCAGACAAAGGACTCCTATCTAGAAAATATCTACAAGTCAAAAAAAATTAGATGCCCTCAATAAAAGACCTAGTCAAAAAAACAGATAGACTAAATGAATGGACAAAATTCACAGAAGAATAAACAGCCAATAAATACATGAAGAAATGCTCAACATCAGTGATCAGTAGAAAGATGCAAATTAAATCAACACTGAGATTCCAACTAACCCAGAAAGAATGCTGTTATCAAGAAATCAAATAATAACAAATGCTGGTTAGGCTGGAGGGGGGAAAAAAGAACCCTCACCAACCCTTACATTGTTGATAAGAATGTAAACTAGTACAATCACTTTGGAAGTCAGTTTGCAAATTCCTCAAAAAACTGAAACTAGAAATTCCATTCACCCTCGATATTTCCTTTCTAGGTATCCTCCTTGAAAGAATTAAAGATATTATATTTCAGTGATACATGCCTACTCACGTTTACAGCAGCACAATTTGTAATAGCTAAATCTAAAACAGATGGATAAAGAAATGTGGTATTTACACACAATAGAATATCACTGTGCCATAAGAGAAGACGACTGACGACGAGTCATTGATAGGAAAATGGATGCACCTTTAGACTATGTTAAGTGACACAAGAAGTAGTTGACAGATCTTTAAGTGAAAAAGGATCAGGAGATAGAGAGAGAGAAAAGAGAAAACAGGGAAAGGAGATGAAAAAAAGTAATTAAAGTGTTTTATGTACAAGTACCAACTCCACACAAGAAATCTAAATGTTAGTACTGCAAATATATTAAAAAAAAAAAAAAAAGGGATCAAAAGATGGGTAGAGGGGGAGGGAAGGGAAAGATGAATAAAAAAGGGAATTAAAATGTAATTATGAACGTGCTGTGAAGTTCTGTACTAACTTCACTGTACGATCTTAGTTGGCTTTATTCTGTCTTGTTCTGTTGTATACTTTCAAAATAAAATTTTAAAAAAATGTAATTATGTACAAACTCCCTACAAGGAATGTAAACATGATGTACTACAAACATGTCCTAATTTTAAAAGATAGCAAAAATAAAAGATCATGTCACTTTTGTTGTTGGCTGTACTCATTATTTTTCTGTTACTATGTAACAATATGCCCCAGTAATTTAAAAACAGAAGAAGAACGATTTTGGCTCATAGTCATAAAGGTTCCAGTCCAAAATTGGGTGGCCGTTGCTCTGGGCCACATATGAGCTGCGTAACATCATGGGAGTGTGTGGCAGAGTAAAGCATTTATATCATGAATGAGCCAGCAATAAGAGAATAAACATTTGGGGGTTCCCCAATCCCCTCCAAGGGCATCCTCCCATTACCTAAGCCCCACCCACCCACCCACCCACCCACCAGGCCCACCTCCGGAAGATTTCCCTAGCTCCCAGCAGCTTCTCCCGGGGCACCAAGCCTGTAAGCCTCGAAACTCTGGAGGATAGTCCACATCTACCCTGCAGCAATGGGGTTTTCACCACCTGCTGTTCTGCAGCTTCCCACACCGGTGCTTTCTCAGGTCTACCAGATGTGGATGCAAAATTGACAGACCCTAGTGACCACAAATTGTATCATTACCTTCTCATGACCTGCTGAATGAAACATCAAGGTGTTATGGTCTCCTGACACCACTAGGAATAACAGGTCACTGTGCTTCTTCTTGGGGAGCTTATTCTGTTAACTTTCCTTATTCGTGTCTGAGGATCAACAGAAACTTCCTAGGCCAGTAACAGTGAACCTTTCAGAGTTTTCAATGGTACAGCCACTGAGGCACAGGCTCTTGGATATCTATTCCAGGTAGCTTCTGCTCAGATGAGTCTCCTTTTCTTCAAGTCCTGGGTGCATCACTTTCAGGCCAGAGACTTCTGGTAGATCATGCACTTGACTCCACCAATGGCATTTGAAAATTACATGAAATTCAAATTTCAGTGCCCATATAAAAGGACCAAATTTCATTAAAAGGTTATAGAAATTTTGTTATCAAAATACCTGCAGGATACTTTTGATCTTGCCTCTTGGTCCACTAATTCTACATTTATTATCCAGCTCATCACACAAAAGGTTTTACAGGCCCTGGTTTAAAGTATTGTAAAAAACCAACAGACAACATTGGTTAAGGGCTTAATGTGTGACAATACCGAGGCTGGGCATTTTGAATGTGCTCTGTCATGGAATTGTTTTGCCTCCTGTCCTGTCTTCAGTCCTTAACCCACTAAAATGAGCTCACCAGCGCGCTGTTTAAAATCCAATGACCCAAAGTAAATCCAAGGTCCTAGACAAAATAATCTTAAATAAAAGGCATCTTAGACTCATTAGCCACATCATAAAGAGCCTGGGAAAGTCACCAGTTATTACCAAGAAGAGGGACAAAGGCAAGGAAGGGATCGGATCAACAGAAAACCAAAAATAAAAACAAAAACCAGTCATAGAGTGGGATGGGGTAATAATTTAGGATGAATGCCAGAGGGAAGAGAGAAGGGGTGGCGGCGGTGGAGGAGGGTGACGAGGGAAGGGGCAGACTGTCCCAACAGCATCCCGTGCCTCGGTCGGTCCTAGCCCAGAGCCAGGCTAGAAAGCCCCCAGCCGGATGTGGGTGCATCGCTTCACAGGATCTGAGGTCCCGGGAACCCGCTTCTGCACAAAGGATGCACGCAGGACTCTTTCTCCTCGGTTTTTCAGCCGTAAGCGGAAGGGTGAGGACCGGAGCGCCCGGGATGAGTGTGTGGGGAACGCAGGAGGCTCATCGAGAGGCCCCCACAGTTCGCCTCCAGGTCTGGACAGAACCTTCCATACACAGGCTCCCGCGCGAAGACGCAAGAGGGCCGGCAGCCGCGATTGCTCGGGCTCCCTCTGCGGCTCACGCGGGGACCGAACAGGAGATGAGATGAGTTCTAGCGGCTCGCCGGCGAGGGGGCCGCGGCGTCCCGGCGCCCGCCAGCCTAGTGGCGCGCATCCCCGCGCCCCACCTCCCGCCTCGCCCGCGCCGCCCCTTTCCGGTCCCCTCCGCGCCGCGCGGTTGCATCAGAGCCGGCGGCCGGGCGCACGTGGAGCGGGGCGCGTGGTCAGGAAGCGCGGCTCCCGCGATGCTGAATCCCGCCTAGCCCTTGGGGCCCGCTTCCCCGAGCCCCGCCTCCACGCCGCGCGCCAGCCCGCGCTCCCCAGCCGGCCGCGGGCGCCCGGAGGAGTCGGCACCGAGCACTCGAGCCCCGCAGCCCTGAGGGCTCCGGCCGCCACCTGCGGTGGGGCCCGGGCGCGAGCCCGGCCGGCCACTCACCTGACGATGGAGTCCCGAGCGGGAGGTGCCGGGTTGTCCGGGCCGCGGCTGCTCCAGGCCGGGCCATCCTGCGGCCGCTGCTGCCCTCGCAGGCCCTCCTGGCCGCCACCCCGGCCGCCACCTCCGCTGGCGGCGCGACAGGGCACCCGGAGGCGGCGCGGCGGGCCCGGGGCCCGGGGAGGACGGCCGAGCTGGCGCAGGACGAGCGGCAGGCGCGCGCTCATGATGCGGAGAGAACGCAGGGCCGCAGCAGCCAGCTCCTCCCGAGGGCGGGGGCCGGTAACGGGCCGGCGGCGGGAGCGACCGGCGCTTCCTGCTCCGAGGAGCCGAGCCCCTAGGGGGCACTGCACCTAGCCCCGTGACGTGGCGAGGCGAGGCGAGGCGAGGCGAGGGCGGGGGCTGCGGCTGCGGCTGCGGCTGCGGCTCGGGAGGCTGCTGCCCGGGCGGCCTGGGCTGCGGGACGGGTGCTCGGCCCTCCGGAACTTGGCTCCCCTTTGGGGTCCAGTAGGGTGAGGCACTGGGGCGGGGTCTAGCCGCCCTGGACTGCTCGCTCTTTCCTGAGAGCGAGGATGCTAGCTAGCATCACCTCGAGCGGGAGCCAGTGGCAGCTCACTTCCTGATGGAGCTGCTGGTTTTAAATCCTGTTTAGACCGGGTCGGAGCGGCCTGAGGGTGAGGGCGGGGGTTTGCAGTAGTACGCTTGTTTTGGCGACCCGAGGCGGGTTGCTTAGCCTAGTGCCCCACCCTGACTCATCAGCGATTCCGTCCTTATAATAAAGATGAGAATTTCCAGACAAAAGTGGAAGTAAAATTATAACCTTGTCATTTCGTGATTTCCAAGGAAGATGGGAGTAAAGTTATTAATTCTTCACTTTCCAGTAGAGTGGGAGCAGGACTGTAAATCTGTTATTCCCACCTAAGGTGGGCAGTAAAACTAGTCCAACCTGGAGAGACTGGTTTTTGTCAGTTGAACGCTGGGCGGGGTGCTGGAGAGGCGCTTTATTCAATCCCCACCGAGGCTCCGTTATAGTTCCGGCCTGCGGGGTGGGTGGCTGGGGGTGGATGCCAGTGGAAGATCTCAGGTGATTCCTCAAGCAGAGCAGGGAGCTGGCCTGACCAGCGGTCATGTTCTTAATCTTCCTCCATTGTCTGGGTTTTTATTGTGGGGTGATTGCCACATCTGATGTGTCATGATTTTGTAGAGTTCACAAATAGCTTGCATTTTCACAACCTATGAAGTAGGAATTACCATTATTTTAATTTGATTTGGTTTTTGGTACTAAGGATTGAACCCAGGACATTAAACGCACTAGGCAAGCACTCTACCCCTGGGCTACAACCGCCTCCCTTCCAGCCCTTGTTATATTTTATTTTGGTAGAGTCTTTCCGGAAGAGTCAGAGCGAAGCCATCCTACTAAACCTTTTCTGCCTGCAATGCTTTCACGTTTGCTAGAGATCCGTAATCCCAGGTTAATGGGCTACACCCATGGTAGCCCTTTGGTAACCATGGCTACAGCCTGTAACCCATCATAACTGCTCCTGACAGGCAGCCGCTCCCTCTGTGTTCTGAAGCCTTGTCCCTGGCAGGGAGCCACAAAGCCTTTCCACTGCACTCCTGCCCAGAGTGTCCCATGTTGACTTTTTCCTTTCACAGCCCTTCTTTGTGCTCATGACCTTATAAAAGAACTCATATTCTGTTAGGGAGTTGCTGGTCTGGGCCAGTGTGGTCCCTCTCAGGTTTGTGCTGAAATAAACCTAACCTGTTGAGGTCCTACCTTTTTCTCCTTTTTTCTCAATACTTCCTACATTGCCCTCGTTGATCATGAAATTTGTAATCCTCTTGCCTCATCCTCTGGAGTAGCTGGAGTTTTAGATTTACCCAGTATTTTATAAACAAGGAAACGCATTGACAGAAGTTATAGTTTGTGTAAGCAGGTAATTATATTTTTAGAAAGTCTTGAGTCAGCATTTCCCTCCTGTCTCTGTGATCCTGAGCGAGTTTTACAATCCCTTGGGGGTTAGGGGCTGGGTATTTAGCTCGGCGGCATAAAGCGCCTGCCTTGCAAGCAGGCAGTTGTGAGTTCGATCCCTGGTACCGATAAAAACGAAAAAGACAAAAAAAAAAAAAAAAAAAAAAAGTTACAATCCCTTAGGGGTTTATTTGCTTCACCCTTAAAATGAGGACATTAACAGACATTTATTGGATGCTACTGAGCACCAACCTCTGATTATGAAGTTGCCTGTTACCCTATCCTGGTCTCTGGAAGTTTCAGGTTATAACTTTATCTGACAAGTGCTACATTAGTGATATTTTAAAAGGCTGTGAGGAACACCAAATGTGTAGATCCTGTTTACTTGAAATGTCCAAAATAGGCAAATCTATAGAGAGAAATTACGTTAGTTATTGCTTATGGCTGTGGGTGAGGCAGTGGGGGATGAGAGACGGTAGCCAATTGCATGAGGTTGCGTTTTGGGGGAGTAAAAGTGTTGTCACACGGTAGTAATGTTACAAATACTGTGAATATTGCAAAACTGAATGGTGGGGGCTGCGGATTTAGCTCAGCTGCATTAAGCGCCTGCCTTGCAAGCAGGCAGTTGTGAGTTCGATCCCTGGTACCGATAAAAAAGAAAAAAAGACCAAAAAAAAAAAAAAAAAAAAAAAAAAACCCTGAATGGTGCACTTTACATGGATGAGTTTTAGGTGAATTCTATCTCAATAAAGCTGTTATAAAAAATGCCTTGGAATGTCTGGGGCTTAAGTATTTTTGGAGACAAATGGGAGGAGCTGGTGCTTGCACTGAGTGGTCCTTTACCTCCGTACTAACTGCAGAGGTTGAGGTAATGGGGGTCACTTGAGACCTGAACGCAAGATGAGCCTGTGCCACATAGTGAGACCTTGCCCAACAAATAAATCAAAAAAACACATTCCACTTATGTCAGATTGTGGAAGTAAAATATGCACAATGAATAAAATTAATGTATGGAAAAAACATGAAGTAAATATAGAATCACTGAAAACTACTGAAGAGAATGGTTAATTTAGATCTCAATGTTTTTACTTTGTTTTATTCCAAGTTTTAAATTGCTTCGCATAATTGCAGCTATACTGTATCTTTTTCCCATACTGTACCTTTTTCCATAACTGATTTAAATAGGGGAAATCATGATTTTTAGTGACTGTATTATAATCTATGGTGTGGACAGACTGGATTTATCTTTTCCTGTTATTCATTATTTGTAATGTTTATTGATATGGGCAGCAAAGCTACTGTTACCATTCTTTATCTTACTTATTCAGTAGCTAAGTACTGGGGGCCTTTGTGTGCTGGGGGAGGGAGAGGACGGTTGATCTGGGGTCTGCACTGAAGTGGGTTCATGCATAATATAGGAATCCAAGCAGCCAAATTGATAAATTTGGAATTTAATTAGCTGAGCTTATCAACCACCCATGAACCCGTTTCAGAGTCTCATCGAGTGGCCCTGAACTGAAAAGTTAGAGACTTTTTAAAAGAGAACCACAAAAAGACATCCTGTTGGAAATAATTTAGCTAGAATCTTACAGTAATCTTTGGTTGCCACCTGTTTCCTGCATCTTTTGTTGAGCAGATTAATATTTCTCTTGTGGATACAGCCCATTCTGCTTTTCTTGTGGGACTTATACTCTGTGTAATTTTCCATCCTTCTGGGTCAAATACAGGGCACTAGTTAAATGCCAGGCTCAAGATGGCATTAGTTATGGCAAGCTACAACACACATCAGTGGTAGGGATATTTGTCAGTCATGCTTTGCAGAAGCAGTTCTCAAGAAATTGGTATATAATGAAACAACACAGAGAAGTAGAAGGTAAACAGCATAGTATACTGTCACAGTTACTTTTTCCTCACTGGGACACAATACCCCACACCCACAATTCTAAGCAGGGAAGGTTTATTTTGGCTCACAGTTTGTAGAGGTTTTGGTCCGTAGTAGGCTGAGACAGAGAAGCATGGCAGAGAGGCATCTCAGAGGAGAAACAGCTCAAGCATGGCCGAAAGGAAGCAGCAGCAATCAAGGGATGAGAGAGAGAGACAGAGCCTTCGGGTCACATCCCTGTGACTCCTCCACCCAACCAGGCTTCACCTCCAAATAACAGTTACAAACGCATCAGAGGACTAATCCACTGCTGAGTGTCAGACTGCATGATCCAGTCACCTCCTCAGAGTCCCCCATGAGTACAGGAGGCTCTGGAGGGTCATCTAGATATAAACCATAACAAATACTAATGTGTTAAAAAAAAAAAAAACAACCCTCCTGCCTTGATTGGTTGCTCATACCTGTAACCTAGTACTGGGAAGGCTGATGCAGGAGGATTGCTTTAATTTTAAACCTGGGCTACAAAGTGAGTTCAAAGCCAGTTTGACCTACAAAGCAGTACCTATATCCAAAGAGAAAAAAAAAAAAAACAAAAAACCCCAACCCCAAAGGGAAAGAAACAATCCTCCTGACCATGCCAAGTTGCAAAGAAAAGTATGCATTTTTATGATTTCCATGGTGTGAGGAAGTCTTCTTTGGAAACTGTTCGTCCATGGAAAAAAGAATAGGGAAAAAAATAGAAATGAAGTTGTTATAAATAAGTAGAGAGTGGGGGAAGATGGCCCGAAGGGTGGGAGAAGG